GCCTCCACTCCCAGGGGAGCCAAACCCCGCAGTCTCCATTGAGCTGCATGAAAATATCACCGAGGTCAGTTTCTCCAGGGAGCCCGAGGCATGCTGCTATGTGCACCTCACTGCAATTTTAAACGCAGTTTTTAGAGTTAGCTTCGCCTGGTGTGGCGGTCCAGGCCATAGCCTGGCACTCAGGAGTCCTGAGGCAGAGCACGGTGAAGGCCTACACAGAGCGACATGTCTCCCTAAGACCAAATGCAAAGGCTTAAGGTGGAAAGCCAACAGTGAACGGGAAATTCACAAGTGATAAAATGGCATAACGGAAGAGAACAGTCCAGAAAATGAAAGAGTGGGAAACCCGCAGCCCCATACGCTGCCCTAAGGAAGCAGGAGAGCTTGGTCCCGGTGGGACCGTGAGAGGGACCTGGCAGCCCTGCTCAAGGGCTCCCCACGGAGCCATGGGAGGAGCGGGACTAGAGGAAAACACAGAGACCAAGTGCTGGGATGACAGATGTGCACCATTCTGTTCTTTAAAGTTTTATTTTTTTCTGGAGTTGCTTATCCTCCTACATATGTGGACACACACACATTTTCACTCCTACTTTATCATGAGGCTAGTGAATTTTATTTTTTTTTCTTCTTTCTGTTTTTCTTCCCCCACCAGCACGAACACACACACACACACACACACACACACACACACACGCACACCCTCTTGCTGAGGTCAGAACAGATCCTCCGGGAAGTCACACAGAGGCCTTGAAGTCCCGCGTGACTGTATCCAGAGAGCAGGCTTTCAGATAGTGGGAGGAGAAGAGACCCCACGGGGTCCGCATCCTGCAGCTGGGCGTCCTGGAGGAGGAAGAGAAAGCCCACGAGCAGCACTCAGGAAAGGCCCTGAGAGCCGAGCCAGGCCAGGCCAGGCCAGGCCAGGCCGGACACTGATCCCAGGCTCCCAGACTGCAAGAGAAAGGTCTGCTGTCCAAGCTACTTGTTACAGTAGCTGGACTGACTGACACAGTCCTCACTCCATTACTCTCCCACAGAGACACAAGCACGACCTTTCATCGGAAGAAACCGAAAGCATTCTTACCACCCAGAGAAAAGAAATGACGCTAAAACAGGGGAGTCCCCTAGTCCCTAGGCCCTGCACAGGCATGCCCACGAGGTCTTCTCAGTTTAGATAATGTTCTCCTAACTGTGAAAAAACTGCTCATAGCACAATCTAGAGAAAGCCTCCAACCAAAAAATGAGACCAAAACAAACAGAAATAAAGCTAGTAGAACCAAAAACAAAATGCAGGAAGCAGAACATTTCAAAGAAACTATAATTAACATGCTGAACCCATGAAAAAGGGACAAAGTGCTGTAATACAGGAAAACACAAGCGCTCCTTTTTAAAAAAAATAAAATGGCCAGGCGTGGTGGTGTATGTCTGTAATCCCAGCACTTAGGAGGCTGAAGCAGGAGGATCACTGGAATTTAAGGCCAGCCTGGACTACATACTGAATTCAAGGCAAACCTGAACTGCATAGCAAGACTCTGTCTCAAAAAGGCAAAAAAAAAATAAAAGCTCAAATTCTCAAATCCAGGGATAAGAACGAAACATCCCAGACAGACAGTAGCGCAGAAAATTTATTAAAAATCAGACTTCTCCACATCAACACTGAAGGCCAGGCAGCCACGGAACACCACGTTCCGACTGGGAGGGAAAGCAGTTTCCAACACGGAGAGCTCTCAGCAGCCACGAAGTCAAAGGTGAGGTAAAACTAACTCCACTGCACGCACTGTCTCTCATGGCGCCACCAGCAGAGACACACACAGGAGGCCTGAACCAAAAGGAAGCCGCGGGGCCCACAGAAAGGGGCTCAGCACAAGTGAGGTCGCCAAACTGTCTGTGAGCAGGGGAAGTCCCAAGGTGACAGTGGTGGGGCGGCCTGAGAGGAAGCAGGCCAGACCCCGCAGGAGGACAGCGACAGAGGGACGTCCAGGGTAACAAATGGGACGGCTAAGCTTATCTGACAGCTCTGCCCAGGCGGAAAATTGTACTGAGAGGCACTTTATGGAGCTGCTGGAGGGTGCAGGAAGGCTAAAAGCAGGCAGGTGAAACACGTGAGGCACGGGGTACAAAAGGGGACACGGAAACCCGAACTCAGTCAGCGACTCCTTCAGCAGCGACCAATGCTCGGCCAGATGATGAACACGATAAATCTAACCTAAAATTGTGAACACTATAAAGACGGAGGAAAGCAAAGCTGAAGAATCTTCAAGCATCCATCCCTACAAAATCACTGACATCTTCGTATCTCAAGTTACTCAGTGCTAAAAAATGCTTCTACTTTTATTAAATTCTGTAACTATAATTTTAAGAGGAAAACTCAGTGAAACAGTCTAACTTTGTTTTTGGAATACTTAACAAGTACTCCAGGGGTCTTTGAAAGGAAAAAATAAGCCACTAAGTCCAAAGCAAAACACTACAAAAGATCTACACAAATTTTATTGGTTACTGGGATCACCGGAGGTATGTCGTATTGGGTATGTTCTGTGGATCACCATAATGTAATTCTAAATGCTGGACACTTTCAATACAGGGCCACTTTTACTATCTACATTTTTCAACTTGACAATTACCTCTATGGGTATTTCCTGGTTTTAAAATTCTAATCGTTCTTCATTTTTTTTTTAAAAAAGCAAACTTGCTGGGTGTGGTGGCACATGCTTGTAATCCTACTATTCAGGAGGCTGAGGCCGAAGGATCCCTCTGAGTTCAAAGCCAGCCTGAACTACACAGCGAGACCCTGTCTCAAACACACAAAACAAAACAAAAGCAAATTTATCACACAAGCCAGTTATAGCACTATGCTCCCTAGCCGTGGAGATTGTAGGTGCAAAAGACATCAGCCCCGTACTTAATCGGCCTAGACTACTGCACTTGTATAATTCTCTTGCTCATCCCACCAAGCTTTCAAATTTACTGTCAATGATCCTCTATCAGGATTTGCCCATCATTTTAATTTGTTATGCAGTCAAAAAAATTAATAACCACACTTCAGACTCAACTTATTAAATAGCCCGCCTGGCGGCCCTTTTACATACACACTTCTCATTAAATCTGAATGCTTTCTGTTTGAATGACAACCAAAGTAAAAATAAAGCAGTTCTGACTAGACTGTTTAAAACGCTAGATAAATATATAGGAGTTTAACTGTTTAGTGGAATTGGGGTGGTTAGTTCTTCTGAAGACTATATATGTTGGTTTTGTTTTGATGAAAAACAGTCTATTTTCCTTGTTCAAATGTCTGTACAGCTAACCTCTGGTTCTGATTATTCAACCAAGGCACTATGAATAATTGAAGGATTACCGAACTATGTAGAGCCAGCCCAGGGCAACATTAAAAAGAGGTGTACACCTGAAGCAGCAGACGCTTGGCTGTCCATGCACGAAGATTTTTACAGAGAAATGAGCACTGTATTTCAAATTAGGACATATACATGTGCAATCATACCTATAATTAAGATATATGTAGTCTTGCTATTTTACTACCACCTTTTCTTAAGTAGTTAAAACAGAACCTCAATTCAGTGACTCCAAACTTTAGAAGGATATGGCTATTTCCCAAGAGGGAAAGACTTCCACCATTAAATTACCATCAAGACAGTGAAAAGCAATCTTTTTGCTTTTCCTCAATAAAAAGCACCTCTGTCTAAACAACAACCTTACAGAAATATGACCACCTGTACTTATTTTCAAAAGTTCTTAAACATATTCACGCCCTCAGAGAACTTACACAAAGCAAACGTGCAATTCATACAATGCAAATGGCACTGACGCCACGCTGGATCCCGACACACTTCCAGGCGCTTGTAACTTACATTTTACATCTGGCCATTAAAAACAAATACTTCCAAATACAGGCCACCTACAGCTCCTCAGTAAGAGGAGCATAACCTCCATCTCCCAGCCCCCTTTCTCAGAATCAACCCTCTCCAAGCCTGAGATCTTCACAGTTGCACTTGGCTCGGATGTCAAAGCTTCGCTGCGGGCAAAAACATCAAAGAAAAAGTAACACTGTTGCTCCTGGGACGCATTAGTTTAATTATGAGAAATAAATCACTCTTACCCAAACAGAAGTTTTTACAATGTAAGTTACCTTTACATCAACAAGAGCAGTTTATTGCTTTCAAAAAAAAAAAAACCCACAAAGGAAAAAGACCATTTCACAACAGTGCGTGGCGATCTGTACTCAGAATGAAGCTCATCGTAGGCTTCAGGCTGGCGCGCACATAAAGACCTTATTTGCGGCGGGTCTGCACGCTGAACTGTCAAAGCACGCTGCGTAGGTCAGATCGCCCGCTTTAAAGAAACACTGCGAGACCAACCCACGCTTAAGCCGAAAGTGTCCGCACGGGACGCGGCAGGCATCTGCCCTCGTCGGAGGCAGGAACCTCTCGCGGTCTCCCGTCTCCCCCGAGCTGCCCGATCGCAGCGCCTGCGGCGGGCAGGAAACACGAACATGGCTGAAAACGTGCGGCGGCGGCACCCCGCGGCCGCTCCCGCTCCCGCCCCGGGCCCCGCGCTCTCCACGCCCCTC